TTTTTTTTTGAGACAGAGTCTCACTATGCAGTGTAGGCTGGCCTTGAACTCATTATGTAGCCCAGGCTGGCCTCAAACTCACAGCAATCTTGCTCCTGCCTCAGCCTCTCGAGGGCTGGGATTACAAGTGTGTGACACCATGTCTAGCACAACACCATATCTTTCACTATGTACTACACCAAAATTAAAATGGATCAAAGATCTAAATGTTAAAACAGCAACAATGTGTTGTAAGATAAAATCAGTAAAACTCTTGAAAACATAGGTGTAGGAAAGGACTTCCTAACTAGAAACCCAATGGTGCCAGAAATGATAACAAAAGTCAGCCTGGGAAGCACAAGGTCCTGAGTTTGATCCCTGGTACCAAAAAAAAAAAAAAAAACCCCAAAAAACCCCTCAATAAATGGGATCATAAATGCAAAAGCTTCTGTACAACAAAGCAAGCAATCAACAGAGGGAAGAAAATCTATAGAATGGGGGAAAACTATACCAGCTACTCCTCAGACAGACTAATATCTAGAAAATACTGAGCTAAAAAAAAAAAAAAAAAAAGAGGACCCCTCCAACATAAAGGACCCAATCAAAAAACAGGCAACTAAATGAACACATCCTTCTCAGTAGAAGTACAAATGGCCAGTGACTCCATGAAGACATGCTCAACATCTCTGGCCATTACAGCAATGCAAACTGAAATAGCACCAAGATCCTACCTTACTCCTGGAAGGATGGCTGTCACGAAATCAGATGATAACAAATGCTAGCAAGGCCGTGGGGGAAAAGGAACCCTCCTACACTGTTGGTGGGAACGCAAATTGGTACAACCACTAGGGAAATCAGAATGGAGAGTCTTCAAAAATGAAATTAGAGGGGGCCAGGGTGCAAGGGCCTGAGTTCAATCCCTGGTTCTATCAAAAAAAAAAAAAAAAAAAAAAACTAGAAATTCCATTTGGCCCAGCTAGTGCCCTTCTAAGCATCACACTGATGCACGCATACCCACGTTTATAGTAGCATAATTCCTAATAGCTAAATCTTGGAAGTGGTTTATATGTCCACCAACAGATGAACTCATAAAGAAAATGTGGTATTTATTCAGCCATAAAAGGATAAACTTGCATCATTTACAGGGAAATGGCTATGCCTTGAGATCACATTAAGTGAAATAAATCAGATACAGGAGTTTAACTATCACATCTTTGCTGATATGAGATACCCAAAATGTAAATAAAGGATACATAATAAGAAAGAGGGAGATAGATCTTCTGCAAAAGGATAGGGCACCTAGGCCGGCCAAATAGCTCAGAGGATTAAAGTGCCTGCTAGCAGGTGCACGGGCCAGCGGTTCAATCCCTGGGCCTGCTGTGCTGACCCTGACCCTGGGGGGTGCTGAGACAGCGATTGAGACTGAGTGTGGTGGTGCGCACCTGTAATCCCAACTCTTGGGAAGCTGTAAACAGGTGGATCACTACAAATCCGATCTAGGAGTGAGACCCTGAATACCCTGTAGACCCAAAAAATAAAAAAGAGGATAAGACACCTAGAGCTGAAGGGAGGGGGAAAGATGGGATAAAGAATTACAATTTGTACCCACTGCCCATGAGGAAGCTAATTGCTATGTACTACAAACATGTACTCATAAAAAATAAAAGCTGAAAAAATCCTTATATAGAATTGCAAATAAAGAAAATCTTTCCCTTTCTTCAGCTGCATTTTTTTAATTCACAGATTACAAACTGATCATCTTTTAATAATATAATTCCATCTAATTTATTCACTCACTCCAAGTGAATGAATTTTAACGCTAGGGTGCAAGGGTCAGTACATAATTAGATCAAACGATGAGAAAGAATAGCCACAAAAGGTCTATACTGATGTTAACCACACTGGAGAGAACTAAGAGTTCTTCCCTAATGCTTACTTAACCAAGAATTATCTAAGCTTGAAAGGACTATTTCAAATTTTTTGACTTACTTTTTAAGACTTTTTAAAAAATTTGTTAAGCTCACAGCAAAATTAAAAGGTCCGAGAACTCCCCCGTCCTGGTGCCCACACCTACATAAACTCACCCACTATCAATGATCCTCACCAAAGAGGTTGGCACATCCATCACCACTGATGAAACTACAATGATACATCATAACCCACAGTCCACACTTTTTATTAGCGTCGTATTCTGCGGGGCTGAACCAACGTACGATGACACACAGCTACCGCCGAAGCACATGCACAGTGGTTTCACTGCCCCCGAGCCCTCTCAGCTCTTTCCATCCCCTACTGCCTAAACGCTGGCAACTGGTCATCCTTTCAGTATCTCCACAGTCTTCCTGGCCCAGATTCGAGCAGCTGGAATCACACAGCGTGCCACCTCTCCAGACTGGCTACTTTCCCTTAATATGCATTTAGCATCCTGAGCTTTTTCACAGCTTGATAGCTCACTTCTTTCCAGCTTTGAATAGCATCCTTTCATCTGCATGCACCAGTTCAGTGATCCATTTGCCCAGCGTTGTTCTTCGATGTCTCGTCACACTGTGCCTTGGAAGAGAATGGGCCACCTGTCTAGGTCATCAAGTGTGTAGGCAAAGAGTTGTTTATCCCACCCCTTTCTTATCCCTCTAGTGTCCGTGGCATCTCCAAGATGTCCCCTTCCATTACTAATATTGGTCATTTGTTTCCTCTCTAGTTTCTTCTAATTTATCCTGGCTAGAGATCTACTGATCTTATCAATCTTTTCGAAGGACAGCTTATAGTTCTGTTAATTTTTATTTTAATTTCCTGCTTTCAATGTCATTAATCTGCTTTTTCTTTTCT